AGATATGTCAAAATCATTGAAAACTGAATTGTAGCGAGTTAAAATTAAATATTTATATTATATTACATTGGTATAACTTAATACCTGCATTAGATATATTTAAGACACATTTTATATACTTTATTCAAAATAAGATCATTACCCAACGGCCGAGTTGTGCGCATGAGCATGCCTTTGTTTCGTGGCACACATCTTTGGGGACGGGGACTGACTGTCGCGGTATGAAAACTGAATTACCGCTGGGTAAAGATCTTATTTTGGACAGAGTATAGTATTATAACTACATTTTAATTCGCAATAGGTTCTAAACACATCAAAACTGTAACACGTTATACTATTATATTTTCGTTACGTTACTACCCAACACTGTTAATTAGCATCTATGCAGAAAAGTTTTTGCATTCAAAAAAATAACAACTTTTTTACCCTAATACATGATATTAAACAAAATTCAAATTTTAGGCTTTAGGAGAAACTGATGATGGCCAATTGCAAATATTAAGAAGCACTTTTGATTTATGGAGTGCAGATCAGCAAATGTTAACTGTACTCATAGACAAAATGTTGAAAACGCAGATTATTGAATGCTCATCAGTGGCAAATTGGATATTCTCAAAAGACATGATTCCAGAGTTTACCAAGTAATTTATTTATAGACAGTTTTTTGAATAGTAATCACTAGTGATTAAGAGAGCGTGATACCTGCTTGTGTTGTGTCCGTCTTACAAGTGCGTAATATAGCAAATTGTACGCTCAACTCAACACATGTAGCTCAATTCGTTAAAATATTACAGTGAATTGATTTCTTATACAATTTTAAGATAAAATTATTATCTAGGCAATATCATATTATTTTTTTTTTATATTTTAATTTTAAAGTGAGTTATGATTTTTTTAAAATTGTGAATTGTTTGTACATCTTAAAATACTCATAACTCTTTAAAACTAAAACATGATATTGCCTAGATAATAATCTTACCTATACATTTTATAAGAGGTCAATTCACTCGAATTTTTTAACTAACGGATCTACACGTGTTCTGCTGAGCGTACAATTTGCTATGTTACCCACTTGCAAGACAGAGACTACACATGCGGGTATCATGTCCTCTTAAGAAGACGCTACACAGTAATTTATTGTCTTCGACTTATAAGTGCGTAATATAGCAAATTTACGCTCAGGAAAACGTGTTTAGTTCCGTTAGTTAGTTTTTGGACAGAATAGTATACAATGAATAACTGTATTTTTCACCTAAACAAAATATAAAAAAAAAATGTAAAAGGTGCAGTTTTGTTTTGGTAATAACTGTTGAAAACTGACTAGTGATCACTTCTCATAAGCTCCTTACATTTTTCTTCAGTTACATTTAATTGATACATTTTTAACACTTATCAATCTTTTAGGCTGTATATTTGGGAGATATTGTCATTGACCATCAATAAGATGTCCAGGCATGTAGATCGATTGACCAGAGAGTTAAATGAAGCTAGAGAAAAGTTGCGTACAACAGCAGCGATATCAAATAGTTCAGACGACAGCGATACAGAAACAGAAAAGGCTGAGGCAAAACCTCGACAATCGACAACTACAACATTTGGTGGTCAAGGTGTTCCAATGGACGTGGATGACAATGTTACCGAAGAGATGGTTGAACGTATGGAGGAGAAATTAGAAATGGCACAAGCTGATCAGAAAAATTTGTTTTTGATTGTTTTTCAGGTATGCGTATGACAAAATTAAAATTGTATGATATTAATGGAATTTATTTTTTATTTCAGAGATTCATAATGATATTATCTGAACATTTAGTAAAATGTGATACAGATGATAGACCGTTTGACACATACTGGTACAAATACACTGTTGGACGACTGCAACAGGTGTTTTTAGCTGTAAGTATAACAATTCACTTTTCATATATTTTCTCGGGTTCACATAATAAATTAAATGCTGTTACATTCTTAATAAAATTTTGTATCAAAGTACAATTATAACACTACATACTCATTTTCAATGACCAGATTTATATTCTATAAAAAAAAATCTTAAAATATTCTCAATATACAGTTTATTCCGCCTAATGTGGGTGACAATTAATATGCGCAATATGGGCAAAATGGTCTGGTCCCAATTCTAATGTATACTTACCAACTAATTTTGGTTATATGGCCAACCGCCTAATGTGGGCAAATGAGTTTGGTCCCAAAGTGTCTACTTTAAGCGGAATCCACTGTATTCTCTTAGAAATTAAAAAAATATGCAAAGATAATCAATAAACATCAATAATAATATAGGTTTGAAACCTGGCCATGGACGGCACTTTTCTTCAGGCTGTCACAGTGTCTGGAAAGAGAGAGGCCGCCATCCCCCACCCTGACATGGCAGATACCTACTGGTGCCAACTAGAAAATTCTGCCAAACTAACAAACACACATTTTATAACCTACAGTGCCCTCCCCCCACCATTAAAAACCACCCAATGGCCTTAGTTTCTGCGAGTTGATTACTAAAAAAATAAAAAAATATATATGTTTTAATATGCAATTTTAGATTCTGAGCGGAGCAAAAGAATGTATTGGTGTTACAATGATGTGTTTCTTTTTTCTGTCTATCAACAACATTTTGATTTTTGAGATCAGTATCTTTTATGATAGAAAAGTGAACCTGGTTGTTTCTTTTGGGAGATCAAAATGGAAAATTCCAAGTAGTCTTAGAAAGCGTTGAGAAAAATTACTGACAAATTACGAAAAACCGCTAAAAATGGGATTTTAATTTCTAACACTTTCTTTATCACTATAGCAACGAATAAAAAATAATAATATTATAAGGACTACGCTAACCGCTCAGAATCGTTTTTCCTATACAATAGATTATCATTGTATTCAAATATAACATCCATTACAACCACTGTACAGCAGAGTGGTACCCACTTGTCCACCTTTTTTTTTTTACAGCAACCCTTTAATTATTTAGTGAGATACATAAACTTGCTTTTTTAAAATTAACTAGTTTTTTATTTTGTTAATTTTAAAATCTTAAAAATCACACAATTGCAAAAATCCTAAACAAGTTACAAAATATTTGGACATTTGAATGTGTGATGAACAATAATCATATACGTTGATCTTATCAGTAGGTATGCAATCAAGTGCCAACATTGCAAGTTAGCAACATATCATAGGCACTTTAACACTGAGTGTTTTCTTTTAATCGAAATGATCCAAAACATTTTTTTTTTATACTGTAATATTAAAATTAATAATAAATTAATATTTTTTTTACACAGTTTACAAAATATTCCCTAACCCATGAAATATTCCAAAATATGGGAAAATAAACTTTTTTCAACAATCTCAGAATTGAACGATTCATCCACATTTTTTAGTCACAAGACTGCATTGTTATATAACAATATTATGTAAAAACATAATTCCTATCTTAAGGGGGTTGGAGCATAGCATATTTTAAGGAGTAATATTTAGGCAGTTTATATTACATGTATTGTGTGAGTAGTGAATATACATTAGTGTGTGCCCTTATCAATCATTAGGTCAATGACAATTTTAACATGTCATCTACGATTCTAAACACGTACGTCGTACACGCATGCACAGGTCACCAAATTGAATTTTTACATTTTCCCGTTTTTAAAATCTATGCAAAATAGCTATAATAGAAAGATAGTTACTTCCCATGATCCGATTTAAATTTTGAAAATAAGTTTGTATTCGATAACCTTTTTACTAGGTTATGTAGGAAAAACAATTGATTTTTAAAACTGAATGTAAGTGTATAAAATAAAAATACTTTCATAATTTTTTAGAAAATTAACATATTTTTTAAGCCTTGTTGAATACAAAAATCAAAAATCTATTTCCTACTTAACCTAGAAAAGGGGATGATGAGTTCATACGTATTTTTAAAATAATTATCAGACATCGGGTAGTGCATAAACTAATCTTCCACTTTTTAGTCTAAAACTACAAAAATTACGGTTTACTCCAACCGCCTTAACTCATTAGTCATTACGTTGTGTAACAATATTATAGGCAAATGCAAAATATTTTTATTTTATTTGTGAGATTTTTGCTTTATTATGTATTACTTTGCATACGTTCCCCTCCTGGTTGAATATTTAGATTTTAATTTATAAATTATAATATTAATATATTATTTCCAATAATTTTTATTAAATTGTTTGCTTAAGAAAAAAATATTACTTGTTTCTATTGTAGATCATACATTATGAGACATTTAAAAAAAATATATGCATTAAATAAGTTTTAAATTATTATTATGAAATATGAAAAACTTAGACAAAAACATTAAAAATAGCTAGTTTTAAATTTTAAACATGACATCTAAAAATTTATTTAAGGTTTGTCAAAATTGATGAATAGTATTTAAAATAAAATTCTGTTCTAAATATTTGTTTGCTCAATATAAACCTTAGCAATTATAACCATAACCTACTTCAATTTTCTTCCTTTAGTTCTCTAATTGTTATACATTTTTGATTGTTATTATTACAATATTACTATTCCACAAATTGTTTTCATGATTTTGATACTGTGTATACTAATTTTGATAAATGAATTATACAAATGTTTTTATTAATTTTGATTAAATTCCTGTTTTATTTTGTTTTCAGCATCACGAACAAGTGCAGAAATACAGCAGTACGCTAGAAGGATTACTTTTCACTCAAGATCTTGACATTCATATCCTTGAAGTGTTCCATCAATTTTTAGCTCTTCGTTCTTAAGTATTTGTGTTCTTATTTTATCTTAAAACATAATATTGTGTTTTAGGTTACCCAAATATTATGTATTCATTTATTTACTTAATAATCAACATCAGTGTTCATTATTTTTATATAGTATAACAATTTACAATAGTCAGGAAACGAAAATAACATTTTTTATCGCTTTATAAAATTTACGACATTATACCGTGTAATCATTTTTGTATAATAAATTTCTTACAAAAAATGTAATCTTTATGATTGATATATTTCTAACAATTCGTTGACATCTTCTTTGGAACCTAAAAATATTGGGCTTCTCTGATGCAAGGCTGTGGGTTGTATGTCCAATATTGGTATCTTACCATTGCTCGCTATTCCACCTGCCTCTTCAATTATGTAAGCCATTGGGTTTCCTTCGTATAATAGACGTAACTAGTGTAATATAAAATTGATTTTTGTTTTGATTAAAATCACAATGCAAGATAAAATATAGTATTTACTTAATTATGGGTTTTTTATAAATTTATACCTTGCCGTTTGGAGATAGTTTTGTGGCCGGGTACATGAATATACCTCCATACTTCAATGTGCGGTGTACATCTGCAACCATCGAACCAACATACCTGGCACCATAAGGTTTACCACACTGAAAGAACAATATTTATAGTTTATTATAATGCATAACAATATGAAGACACAACATTACCTCTGGGTCTTTTTTCCTCCTCACATACTCCGTCACAGATTTGTCCCACAAATGTGAGTACCCTTCGTTGATACTGTAAATGCTTCCCTTGCTGGGTATTTTAATGTTACTCTCGGTCAACAAAAATTCACCAATCGACTGTTATAACAATATTCATGTTTAAATAGAAACACTCCAATGATATAAAAATGTATTATATTAAATAGTGTTATTATGACAACTTACCGGATCCAACATAAACCCATTGACTCCACTTCCTTTGCCTAATGATAACACCATCATTGTTGCGCTGCCATAAAGCGCATAACCTGCAGCCACCATGTTCCTGCCTGGTTGAAACGCATTGTTCACATTCGTCTCATTGCTCTCATCGGTTTTTCTGCAAATTAGATTTATTGTTTTAATTAATTATTGTTTATAAAATGTAATTAGTTACAATAACAATTTTTTTCTCTATGTTATCCCGATAGTGAGTTAGGTTAGAGACAAGTGCGGGTACAAGGTAGGGAGGGCTATGAAGCCTTTTTTTTGTTTCAAGATCTGCTCCTGGTTAAGGGGAACTTGATTGAACTATACTAAAGTTGTCAATTGCTAATTGGTTGTTTACTATTTAGGAGGCCTAAATTTTAACTTAAGAGAATCACAATAACTTATTCCTATCAAGGATCAACATTATATATTAACTGTTTTAATGATTATGAACATAACACTAACAAGGTCCAATTGTTTGGACTAGGATTTTTTCTGAAATGGTGTTTTTTAAGTCTATAATCCCCAAATCCTAGGTAACCCCTTCCCCCTCATCATCAATGAAAAAACACGTCTTAATTCTCAATTGGTAGTGAGTTAAGTATGACTTATGAATATTATATTTGTACCAGCATAGATTTGAGTATTTTATTTTATAATACCAATGCATGAAATAGTTTTTTTTTATACTAAGGAGTATGGTCGTATGGAGGGCCTAGATCTAAGCCAAATATTTGTAGAACCTCCTGTAAAAAGGTCAAATTTACTTTTGTTTCTTTTCTCTAGTAAATTAAAATGTTGGTGGTACGAAAGAGGGATTAATGATGGTAATTGGACAAGGAGGAGTACTTATATGTTATTTTCTTAGTATAGTTTTTAATTGTAAAATAGTGCATTATTCCATAAGTATAGGTACTTGAATATTCCAAATATTGAACCAATGGACACGAGACAATCAATGTTGGACGACCCATCCAGAGGGTCGAAACACACAACATATTTTCCACGTTTTTCAGTCTCAATCTGAAAAAAAAATAGACATTTTAAATCATAAATACATTTCAATATATTATGACTATCGGGTTATTATTGTGTTGAGTAGTAAAATGTTTCGTAGGTACCAGAATAGTTCACCGGTTATTTACGATATTTACTGTTAATTACTCTAATATGATTCTAATTTCTTGTATTAGAACGTTTTCTGAAATTATTAAGCCATTTTAAATAGATCATTAGTTTATAACCTGTGATCAATTTCTGATGATTTAATGTAGGTACTGCAAGGTTCAAAACAGTCTAATAATAAAAAAAAAACCGTATTTTAACATCATCTTTACCTACTACATCCAACAACAGTAATTATTAATTAATAAATAACAATGAATTGCAAATTGTGGAAAAAAACAGGCCAAACTTTGCAACGAAATTACTCACGAAGTCTTGAGTATTCCCAGGCCATTGGTCAAATCGAGTAAATATGCCGAAGAAAGGGCCTGCGGCCTGGCATACCATAAAACCACAGAATACCTATATTAATTTAACCTATTCTGTGATAAAACTAAAAACCGGTCAAGTGCTAGTCGGTTCGCGCACGAAGGGTTCCATCATCAGCTATAAACATGTTGTGAACACTGCTTATATAATATATATTATATATTCTAGAATTTTTAGTATTTGTTTTTATAGCGGCAACAGAAATACATAATCTGTGAAAATTTCAATTTTCTAACTTTCATGGTTCATGAGATACCTACAGCCTGCAGGTGACAGACAGACGGACGGACAGCGGAGCCTTAGTAATAGGGTCCTGTTTTACCGTTCGGAACCCTAAAAAGAGTAATAATAATTGTAAAAGCAATAATGCGATAAGATGTACCTCTATCACAGTCTCGTTTTCTTCGCTGACCAGCATGTGGACCGTAAAAGACGACGCCAACATGTTGATGAACAGTTCGTTGCTGAGCACGTCCAGCTTCTTGACGTCTTCACCCTGCACGTTCGTGGACCCATCCATGCCATACCTATATATACAGGACATAATTGCAGGGTTATAAATATATTATATAAGTATCTATATTCAATATACTGTATTGTTGTCGGCAAGACACGTTAATGCAAATTTGGGAAAGTTTTGATTAAAAAAATTAACTCAAGTCGGTAATTGGTATTATAGGTACTATTATAAAATTATAATAATATAATACTAATATGTTGAGTCAACGTAAATTCAAAACGTCGAGGGGTTCAAAAGTTTTTTTTTTTTTAATTAACTTTTCGAAAATAGGTACCTACCTATAACGACACCCATCTATCTATTTGAGTTTATTGGGCATTGGGTGAGTCGAAAAAAATGTACAGATAAAATATTATGCTTACAGGTGAGTCAGTCCGGCCCTGCGCACTGCCGAGCTGACCGCCTTGACGGCCGTCTGAATGCTGGTCAACAGTTGGGACAGGTCTCCGGTGGCCGATGGAACTTTTTTCTGTTCGGCCAACACATACCGAGTGAGAGTCATGCAGTTCGAGTCGAACGCCGGTGGTTCGTACTGCTGCTGTTGCGCCATCGGAAAGTTGGTATTCAAACACGGTTGCGGTATAATTGGTACCGGGAGACTGTAGCGCTGGACGGGGTCAGCTATTATATCTTTAAGCACATATGAAAGCACAATAATAACACATGTTAGAGTTCGACGATCGTATTATAGGTACATTAATATCCAGTCTATTATTATACTATAATATGACAACTGAGCAGAAAGGGGACGAGTCCATTTATATAAATTTTCATTTTAACGTAATTTAGCATTATTTTGTCACACTCACGTAAATTCGTCGTTTACTGCAGAAAAGAGACGAATCCGACTGCGCCCGAACATTTAAAAAAAGCTCTGTGGTATTACTGTTTATACAATAGAACTCCTATACATTAGTCCATTATACACAACACGTTTTTTGTACCTCCTAAAAACTATATAAAGTGAACTTATCCCCTTTCTGCAGTCAACGATTCAATTGTACATTATAAATTGATAATTATTATTGTTGCTGTTACGGATTTATTTAGTGTATATTATAATAATATATTACCGCAAAACGTGAAAAACCTGCACCGTCCGGCCGCCGCCGATCGCAACATTTACGGTTTTTAAATTTTTTTTTTTTATGCGACTGATTGTGAAATATTTTTCGTCACCTATACAATTATTATATATTTACACGGGTTATAATATAATGGGCACCTATATAAATATTTAATATTTTAAAGGCGATGCTGCAGTCAAGCAAGCAAGCAATTCATTAACGTTCAATTAGAACTCGCACGATAAAGCAAAGATAAAATAAAAATAAAAGGGTCATCTGCAAGAGTAGATTGTACATTTTTTTTTTATTTTAATAGTTCGGTTATTTATAAGCCACATTTCCACAATGTTTTTGATAAAACTGTTAATCACTATTAATGATCACTATATAATATAATAGGTATATTAATCACTATTATCTATTGAACCTATAATAGGTTTTTTTTAGATTTTAATTTTGAAGCAAGTTGTGAGTATTTTAAAATGCACAAACAATTTAAATTTTTTAAATACTCATAACTTGCGTTAAAGTTAAAATATAAAAACCCTATGAATTTCACTAGATAATATTCTTACTTTTTAATTTTATAGAGGTCAATTCACTCTAATTTTAAAACCAACAGAGCTATGTGTGATCTGCTGAGGGTACAATTTCCCATGTTATATGTTTTCTAAGACAGAGAGAACGTAGTGGGTGTATAACGCCCTCTTAAGGTGCCTGCTGGTGTGTTCTTAATGTTGGGCAATATTTAGGGAATAAGCAATTTCGTTGCTGCAGCTCATGGCATTTGAGTTAGTGATGATTATAGTGATTAGTGCGACAGTATGGGCGCTCATATCAAAGGCTGCACCGCAGACCAAAAATGAAAAGCATGATTTTTTGCTCAAAACACGTTTTACAGGAAAAACTTTTACGCATCGAAGAGTGGTCTAATATGATTTCGTTAGAAAGAGGATAATTATTTTCTACAGCGCGTATAGGACTTCGATTTCGTTGATTAAAACAGACATAAAAAGAATAAAAACTTGTGAATAAAGGTCATATAATTAAAGAATAATAATTTTAAAAATCCAAGTTCAATGCGCCCTACAAAAACACATCTTTCCAAAATAAAAAAAAAAAAATATCGAAATCGGATTACCTACTATACGAGGCGTGAAACTTTTCCCCGAAGTGCACGTATTTGAGTAAAAAACAGTTCACATGTAGGTCCTATTTAACTAAGGATCAAATTTCAATGAGATAGCGACACGTAATTATAATGAAATAATTTACAAATCATTGAATCTGGGTCATCTAAATAGTATGTATTTTTAATTTTTATCCTTAATATTTTAAGATATTCGTACAACGTTTTTTTTTTAACTATACATTACTTTATTGCCCATTTGATAATTTATCACGGCTTTATTTTAAAACATTTAGCTTATATAAAATACCATTTTAACTCGTTTTGGTTGCATTTTAAAGAATAAGAATAATAAAAATAATTAACTGTATGTATTATTGTTTAAAAAAATTATATAACTTTGTATACCTACTCAATGTATATAATATATATACTATATACATATATTATATACAATAGGTACACTAATGTGCGTATCAGTATAATCTATGTAGGTACTAGGTAAGTGTTTTCTAATTTCTTCATGGTCTTACTAACGAATAATAATACATAAAAATGTGCGTCCAGAATTTCCAATTTTGTGTTGTTGGCTTGAATATGGTTTGGTTTATTTTTACTATTTTTTTTTAATTTTTAAGTGAGTATGTAAAATAGTAAAATATATTTGAAAATGCTCATAATTCACTTAAAAATTAAAATTTCGTAAAACCCTAAGAGAGAACACAGATAAAGTTTTTGCATTTAATTTTGTTAATATAGGTCAATTCACTCTAACATTTAAGCTGACAATGCAAAGTTGAAACTGCTGGACGTACATTTTGGTAATTATGCAGCTTTAGTAAGACGGAGACAACGTAATATGCGAGTACGACGTCCCCTTAATAACAAGAATAGAAAATAATAGAATAAAAAAAAAACAAATAAATAACCAAGTTTAAGTAACCTACCTATAATTCAGACCTTAACAGACAACAGTCTGCGAACAATACCTACCCCCAAAAGCAAGTGTGAATGTACATAATGTACATATTATTGCCTACATAATAATTTACAAATATAAGCTCCCGACCGCCGGTCTATTAATTTCTGAATTTATTCGAATTTCGACCGTCATTCTTTCGGAAAGTGTTTTGTACACAATATAATATATTCTTGGGTAATTAAAAGCTACTCTATAGAATATTCACTGAAATACCTTTCCCATATTAAAAATTTTTATTTTTCTAATACAAGCCAAATTACAACAGTTGTAGGTACAGAGTATTTCTGCGGTGGTTACCAGTGACCATATCGTTTGATAAACTCGATTCAATCGTGACTCGTATATCCGGAAGCAAGTATATTTATTTTATATTTTACATTACCAAGACCTAAGATTATTTTCTAAACATAAATGTTTTTAGTAAATATCTATTGTTAATAAGTTATTGTTTTCTATTCCAATGTACACAAGAGTTCTTCAACACTACAACCGTACTATAATGTATGTAAGTGGCTTATCGCATTGGAGTAATAATACATAAACTGTACAATGTACATGTATACAATAATATAATCTACGATTTAACGACTATGTGTCTATTATATAATAATATAAAGATGTTAGTGCAGTGTGTTTGTAATAATAATTTAGTAGACGGTTTTTTTTTGATAACAATTTTGTAAACAACTATAGTAGTATAGACGTATAGTCTATATCCACAATAACATATCACAGAATAAATTAATGATAATATGGTCCAAAATGCATAGTACAATATAACGCAGTAATATTACTTGAGAGCAGTGGCGTAATTTCAGTTTTTATTAGACTAGGGCAAATTTTCACTGCTTTTCCAATTCAGAATTTTTTCACTCAGATTCTCATAGTGCTATAGAGGTTAACGGGGAGGGGGGGCTGCGTGTGGTAAATGTGCTGACTTAAGGTTGATGTAAATACTAGACTGGGGCAAATGCCCCAAATGACGCCACTGCTTGAGAGTGTGATTAGTAATTTACAGCAACATATAGGCTTTTGGTTTGGCAGCGCGGAAGTAATAAGAAAGTACCACTGTACCAGCAACCCGCGACGTGTTGGTTCAAACTTGAAAAGAAAAAGGTAATAGGTATATATGTACCTATATTCCACACACACACACACACACACACACACACACACACACACACACACACACACACACACACACACACACACACACACACAAACCACATAGGCAAGCACGGATTAAGGGGTTGGGCAAGGAGGGCACGGTCCCGGGGCCCATTAATTTTGGGGACCCACCTTTATCCCCAAAATATATTTTTTTAACAGTTTAAAAAAAAAATTACTGTGGTAAGTAGTAACTTACTTACTTTTTTTAGTAAGTAAATTATTATTAATAATTATAAAATAAAATTGTTCTCAATTTTATATCACGAAAAATTACTATAAATAATGAACTATGTTTGCCAACAGTTTGTTTGTTTTTTTTTTTTTTTGTGCATTTTAGATTACCAATTTAATTATTTAAGTATAATGTATATAAAAAGGTAGTTATAAGAAAACATTATTTAGATCTTGTAAATTAGGTATTTCAGTTAAAAGTATACCATATAGTAACTGTTAATAACCTAGCTAACCAAAATTGATCATTTGACTGTCAAAATGGTCAGAAAAAAAGCTTTACCAGAATCCATCGAAAAATATAGTGGTTACCATTTGAAAAAATATAGTCGATTTTATAATTGGTACAACTGCGTATTTAAAAATGTTATGAACAAATTTCTAGGTAAAAATAAAGAAACACGTCTTTTTTTGTTTTAACGAAATTGCATATCATCGATCCATAGACCATATTGTTAAAAAAAAAAACCCGCGTACAATGACATAAGATTCACTCTGTATATTTTTTGTAAAGTAAAAAATTAAACAATAATATAAAGTCGTTAATATGTAAAATATACAATTATTTTGAAGTTAAATTTGAAAGGGGTACACTAAGTGTCCCAGGCCCATAGGTGGAAATCCGTGGTGGTGGACTTGAGGGGACTAAGCCCCTCCCCTAGTAGTTCAAAGTACAGGTCTTAGCCCCCCCCCTGGCCCACAAATTTTAAAGTGACTTAATATAAAATAATTGTTATAATTGCAAAATTCATATTTAATAACTAAATTAAAAAATAAATTATAAAAAAATATTCTGTGGTAAAAATTAAATTAAATTCGTAAGATTTTACTTACTTATAATCATAACTTGGGACGATCGTAATTATGTAGTATTAATAATAACTAATAAGTAATAATACCCGCATAGGTTGTTTATCAGCAGCAATCGTCCGCGTCAAGTCGCGCGTCGTCCCGGTTTCGATAAAATTACG